CCCCCCCCCCTTTCGTTCTTTCTGTCATGGGGCTTGAACTTAAGACCTGGGCACTGTCCCTGAGCTCTTTTGCTCAGGGCTAGCACTCTTTGAGCCAGGGCACCACTTCTGGTTTTCTGGTGGTTAATGAGAGATGAATCTCATGGGGACTTCTCAGCACTGTTTGGCTTCAAACCATGATCTTCAGATCTCAGCCTCCTGAGAAGCTAGGATTACAGGTATGAGCCGAGTCACTGGCACTGGGCTCAAAAATGCTTTTAGAATGTAAAGTCCATTAATCACTCATTTGTTCTACACATAACAAAAGCTTCCTCGTAGGTTTCTGGTGCTGGAGAAAGAAACAGAACATAGTAATTATCTTTAGTGAGCTGGAGGTTGTTTTTTTTTTTTTTGAGGACTCCAAAGTAAACAGCGGCTGGGGTGTACAGTAGAACACTCATCTCACACACCTTAAGGCCCTGGGCTCAATTCCCAACATCTGTGGGTATGGGAGTTAACTAGAGAATTAGGGAGAGATAGTGTGCCAATATGGTAAGTATAAGCTACCAGATTATTTATTAATTTGGATCTGAAGTTGGAAGTCTTGCTGTCCTGAACATTGTTTTACTCCTGTGGTCACTGAGATAAGGAATTTGATGACCTTGCCTGGGGCTGGAAAGATATTCTCAAGCTCCTTAGTATGAGGGAGTGATGGGACTGAGAGACACAAAAAGGAAAGAAAGATTTTTTTTTTTTTTTGCTTATGTGGTGCTGAGGAATGGATCCCAGGGCCTCATGCATGCAAGGCAAGCGCTCTACCACTGAGCCACCTTCCCAGCCCCAGAAAGATTTTTTTTAATGTTTAAAAACTATTGTAATTAAAAGTAATATGTCAACAGATAAATCTTTGTCATTATCAGTTTTCGGATCAAGAAGCTTGGGCCAAGTCTTGGGGTCAAGTCTGTGTGATTTGGGGGAAGCTACTGAATTTGAGGACATGTATGTATGCATGTATTCGTTTGTTGTTAACTCCTGCCCTCTGGCTTGCTAGTTGGCAAGTGGTCTGCCACTTAAGCCATGCCCCCAGTCCTTTCTATTTCCACTTCCTGGCTCTACTGTCAGTCGTGCAAAACATCCGGTACAGAGAAAGTTAAATAAGTCATTTCCCTTTGCTTCTTGTCTAGCACATTGCGGAGAAGTATTGCTCCCACCTTGCAGCCAGCGTTAGGTCTAGTAGATAGGGCGCCTGCGCAGTACAATGAGCACAAGCGCGCGCACAAGCGCGCGCACGCTGGACAAAGCGCTTGCTGCCTAGTCGCTAGGCAACCAGGTTACCTAGCAACAGGCGCGTCCCATTGCTGGCGGGTGCCTGGAGACCTCTGGCTCAGTCAGGTGAGGCGGTGGTTGTGGATCAGGGGCTCTGTTGGGGGAGGGGAGAGGGCGGGAGAGGTTGTGCTCTGACCTGCCCCGTCTCACACCGGGTCCAAGTTTCAACATCCCAACATCTGTGGCAAAACTCCCACATCGTGTGCCCTTTAGTGGAGGTCAAGCCTCTGTTTCAGGCCTAAGAGAGGGGAGCCCATATAAGGTACTGCTGTATCTTTCCCAGCCCTTTCTTCTTTTCCCCTTGTCATCTGATACTGGGTACCCGAGTCTAGTTAACCTTTTTTCTAAGAGAGGTTCTTTTAGGACTAGTTCTGTACATGTTACTAAATGCAGTAACAATTATAATAATAACCACGGCCAATATATCTAAAGCTCCAGTGAGCCAGGCTTATCAGTTAATATGACAACATTGAAAAGGGCCAGTATATACTATTTATTACTTTCTTTGTACAGCTGCAGAAAGATCCAGATGGAGGAAGTAAACTTGTCAAGGGCCACCCATGGACTGGGCTTGAAGCCAGTTAACCACTAAGTCACACTGTCTATAGTTGCTCAAAGCACACGCGTAGAATAAAAGGAAATCATCTTTTAACTGTAATTCCCTTTTGCAGATGTGAATATGGGTCCCTGACAGGTAAATTAGTAGAACTCTGTGTGTGTGTGTGTGTGTGTGTGTGTGTGTGTGTGTGCGCGCGCGCGCAGTACTGAGGCTCAAATTCAAGGCCTCACACTCAAACTTGAGTTTTTCATACAAGGGTGGTACTCTTACCATGGGACCCATACCTCCATTCTTGGCTTTTTGCTGAGTAATTGGAGATAAGATTCTCACATACTTTTCAGCCCCAGGTGGCTTGGAACCAAGGTCCTCAGATCTCAACCTCTTAAGTAGCTAGAATTACAGGTGTGAGCTATCAGTGCCTGGCTTAAAACTGGACTTGAACAATGGCTTCTAGCTCTCCAGTTTCATGACCTCCAGCGAGCTGCTTGACATCATCATAGTTTCCTCATTTGTAAAATGTACATGATATTGTCCTTTCCTTATGGGGTAATTGAATTAGATACTAGTAATTGCTGGCACTGATAATCACTAAATGGAGAGACCATCTTGCTCTTTGCTTGCTTGCTCTGTTTAGTCCTTTTAGTGACTGAAGACCCAGCCTATTACAGTAGTTTCTTCTGTCATTAAGTAATATGCCATGGGAGATCACTGAGGTCTGCAATTTGGGTTGTTATGTTACTTTCCCTGTGACCTTAAGTGGATCTCTTCATTGTCCTTAGCCCCAGTTTGGTCATCTGTAGAATAGGAGTAAAAATACCCATCAAGTCAGGTGCTGGTGGCTCATAACTATAACCCTGGCTACTCAGGAATCTGAGATGTGAGGATCACTGGGCAGAGAAATTCAACTCTGATCTTCAATTAAATAGCAAAAGTATGAAGTGGCAGAGGGCTCAAGTGGCAAAGGGCCAGCCTTGAGCAAAAAAGCCAAGCAAAAATGTTAGACCTTGAGGTCAAGCCCCCAGTATTGGCGCACACGCGCGTGCGCTTGCACGCACACACACACACACACACACACACACACACACACACAGCCATCAGCCTGTCCTCATAGTTTAGTTTGGGGGATCAGATAAGTAGATTTTAAATCACAGTAGTAATGACAACAGATTCTGTATATCTTTTAATTCAAGGGTCTCTGCAGAGTTTTGCTTTGAAGGCCTTTTGCAGCTGTGTAAAGATGGCTCATGCTAAGATCTCCATGTATCTACCTCCCAACATCAATCCTGCCCAGGCTGAAATTGCCTATGGCTGCCTAGCCCTGCCCAAGCTGAACAGAGAACTGCAATCAGCCGTCCTGCTGACAAGACAGAAAGCCCTTGTGGCCCTATGTGACCTCATGCATGACCCCGAGTATGTCTACGAGGCCATCCAGATAGGTGAGAATGTTACCGCCCAGGTGACCATGACTGGGGTTATGGCATGACTCAGACAGTGGTGGAGCTTGAATAATAAGGGTAGAAAGGAATGAGCCAGATTTAAACCCAGCAGTGCATTAATTGCAATGCCTGGTTTATCTCAGTCCTCACCGTGGCCACCCACAAGGGAAAGAACATTCTAAATCTATACACAAGAAAATCAAGGTTCAGATACTACTTTGGGGTGTTTATCCAAAAGATTATAAGTCAGAATCCAGTAATGACACCTTGCACATCCATGTTCATTGCCACACTATTCACCATACCAAAGTTATAGAAGAAGTCCAGATATCTTACAATGGATGAGCAGATCAAAAAATGGCATACAAATACGCTTGATCTTACTCATCCATGAAGAAGAAGAATATGTAATTCACAGGGAAATGGATAGGCCTTGAAAAAATTATGTTACACGAAGTAAATCAGGCTGTGAGAGACAAAGGGCTCATGTTTTCTCTCGTAAGTAGATGTTAGATCTAAATTATAAACATACATGAAAACATAGAGTCATTGCAGATATATTTATATAAATTGACTAAAACATGTTATACAAAAGGGAGGATTCCAATGGTGTAACTCCTTTAAGTCACTAATTTACAGTTTAATAAAATGAATACTAGTAAGCTAAAACATATGTGGTCAGGAAGAGAGCAGATCAAATGGAAGAGGGCAGATGAATGAGGAGAAGAAGGGCAGTAAAAAATGGCCAAAAAAATGGCCATAATATTCAATGTACATGTGAAAATAGAATCAGGTAACTTGAGGGAATGGATGGGGTTGAGAGAAATGAAGAATGATGGAAGGGATGACATGGATCAAGATGCATTATACACATAGACTGACATGTTGAATTGAAAAGAAAAAAGAAAATTGAGGTTCAAAGAAGGGGTATGAATCTAAAATTGTTGAATCAATAAATTAAGCAAGATCTTTATTTGCTAAATTTTACATTTCTAGGTTATAATTCACTAGAGGTCAAGTGACTAGTTGGGGATATGGTTATAGTTTGACCTCTATCAAAGAAATGCAATCCAGGTGTCAATGGCTCATGCCTGTAATCTTAGTTACTCAGGAGGCTGAGAGCTGAGGTTCAGAGTTTGAAGCCAGCCCAGCAAGATAGTGCTCTACCTCTTGAACCACAGCATCACATCTGGCTTTTTCTGAATTGTTTATTAGAGATAAGAGTCTCATAGGCTTTTCTGTCCAGGCTGGCTTTGAACCAGAATTCTCAGATCTCAGCCTCCTGAGTAGCTAGAATTACAGCTGTGAGCCACTGGCACTTGGCTACCCTGAAACTCTAATCTCCAATTAACCATCAAAAATCTGGAAGTGGATAAGTGGCTTAAGTGGCAGAGTGCCAGCCTTGAGCAAAAGAGTCAAGGGAGAATTTGAGGCCTTAAGTTCAAGCCCCAATAATGGCACATAGACACACAAAAAATGGCAAAGCAAGCAAACCAAAAAACAAAACCATTTTCTTAACCTCCTTGGCTGATGTTGAGAGCAGATGCTAATAGAAAGTGTACAGGGAGAATGGCAAAGAGGACTAGATGAGATGATTCCTGTCTGTGAACCCCTTTTGTGATTCTCCAGCGCTCTGTAACCGACTTGATTCCCCAACGTCCTAGAGCAATAAAATCTCTGGTGCTTTCTCATTGTCTAATCGTACTCATATGTTGGCTTCTGGGCTAGCTGACTTCCTGGAGTGGCAAATGTTCAAAGGCTTTTTTCTGTCTCAACAGGTTGTCTGGAGAGCCTGAAGGGCTTGCTGAAGGATGGTGATGACCTGGTACGGATAAAGACCACTGAGGTGCTCCACATCATAGCGACCCATAGTGTGGGCAGGTGGGCAGCCATCTTTGGAAACTAATACCACTATGTGTGTGATGTGATGTGTGTGTGTGTGTGTGTGTGTGTAAGATCACTTGTGCATGTGCACACGTGCTGGTACTGGGGTTTGAACTCAATGCCTGGGTGCTGTCCTTTAGCTTTTTCATTTGAATCACAGTGCCACTTTTGACTTTTTTGGTGGTTCATTGGAAATATGAGTCTCATGGATTTTCCTGTCTGAGCTGGCTTTGAACTGCAATCTTTCGTACTCAGCCTCCTGAGTTTCAAATGCCCTACTTGGAAGCTGCACCCACTTGGGTGGATGTCTTTGAATGACCTTGAGTACCAGTACTGAGCCTTTGTCTATAGCACTGGTCTTTGGTGGGACTTCTATTTGGTTAGAACATGCCTCTCTATGGGGTGGTTCGGTTGCATCTGTGAGTGCCTAACAGGACTTTCTGTTCCACATTAATTTTTATGGTAGCTTTTAATTCTTGGCTTCCCACATATGATGGGAAGGAAGGTCAGATTCCACACCTGAAACAGTTTTGCCTTTTTAAAGCTTTTTATGGGGAGCCAAGTTCTATGTTCTAGATTGTCCCACAGGGCCTGTGGCTTTGGCTCCTGTCTCTACGTGGGTGTTAAAATATCAGCATTAAAGCACACGTTTGGTCCGGGCTGGTAGCCTCGTGTCTTTCTCTGATACTGAGATTATTTGGGTTTCTGACCTGGAAATATCCCTTTGCCTGTATAAAGCTTTACATTTTATACTTAAAACCTTTTTCTTCTAGGCTGGGTGACAGTAGTTCACACCTACAATCTTAGCTCCTCAGGAGGCTGAGACTTAGAGGATCATGATTTGAAGCCAGCTCCAGCAGAAAAAAAAGTCTGAGATTCCAGGTGCAACTAAACAGAAAAATGCCAGACTAGAGGCAAATAGCAGAGTCCCTGCTGTGAGCAAGCACAAAGCTCTGAATTAAACACACACACGCACATGTGCACGCGCACACACACACATATACACATACACACACACACACACACACACACACACACACACTAACAGTTTTCACCTAGTACTTGGTTAGGAGTTGGGTTGGCAACCTTGGGAATTTTGTTATATCAGCCGAGTCTATGTTGCTTACCAGAGGTCATTCATTTTATTTTGTATTAAAAGTAGAACTTCCCTCTTCCCACTCCCCCCAAAAGCCAGGTGCCAGTGGCTCACACATGTAATCCTAGCTACTTAGGAGGCTGAGATCTGAGGATTGTGGTTCAAAGCCAGCCCAGGCAAAAAAAGTCTATGAGACTCTTATCTCCAATTAACCACCAGAAAACCGGAAGTGGTGCAGTGGCTCAAGTGGTAGAGCACTAGCCTTGAGCTGAAGAGTTGAGGGACAGCGCCCAGGCTTGGAGTTCAAAACCCATGACCCCCCCACACACACACAAAAAGTAGAACCCTGCTTATACCCTTGAAAGCCCTGCCCCAGTCTCCTGTATAAAGAAGACATTGCCCAGTATTCTCAGGCTCTGCAAGAAGGAAGGGCAACTCCAAGGGCAAGGTGCTGACTGGTTTTGGGCTTGGTAGGTGTAAACCACTATTGAGACAGGCTTCACATCATGTCACCAGTGCTGGGATGTCCCAAGAAACCAGTCACCGTATCCTGCTCTCAAGCTCTCTCAGACCCAGGGAGTCCTCCTTGGTACCTGCTACAATCTGATCCTGCATGCAGCCCTGGAATGAAGTAGTATGAATAGGGGGTATGCACATGGGTGTAGAGTGACACAATGCCATGGTTATAATGCACCTTCATTCACATAGTTGGCATCAAGTAGGGAAAGATCAGTGCTGTGGACACACAATGGTTACAGGCTTTTGTTTTGTTGGTCTTGGGGCTTGAACTCAGCCTGAGAGTTGTTCCTGGGCTTTTTCACTCAAGGCTAGTGCTCTACCACTTTGAGCCACAGTGCCACTGTCTGTTTTCTGGTGGTTCATTGAAGATGAGTTTCACAGATGGGGCTGGGAAGTTGGCTCAGTGGTAGAGCGCTTGCCGTGCATGCCTGAGGCCCTGGGTTCGATTCCTCAGCACCATATAAGCAAAATGAAAAAAGCTGGAAGTGGCGCTGTGGCTCAAGTGGTAGAGCGCTAGTCTTGAGCTGAAGAGCTGAGGGACAGCATCCAGGCCCAGAGTTCAGGCCCCACGACCGGACCCAAAAAAAACAAAGAGTCTCACAGACTTTCCTGCCTGGGCTGGCTTCAAACCACAATCCTCAGATCTCAGCCTTCTGAGTAGTAAGGATTATAGGTGTGAGCCATTGTTGCTCAGTAATTTTTTTTTTTGTTGTTGAACTGGGGATTGAACCCAGGGTCTCTCTCAATTGCTAGGCAATGATCTATCATGTGTTTTTGAGATAGGGTCTTGCTAACTTTTTCTGTTCTGACCTCAAACCCACAAGCTTCCTGACATACCTCCTGAGTAGCTGAGATTATAAACTTGTACTGTGTGTGTGTGTGTGTGTGTGTGTGTGCCAGTCTTGGGACTTGAATTTAGTGCCTGGGTACTGTCTCTGACCTTTTGTACTCAAGGCTAGAGCCTTCTACCACTTGAGCCCCAGCTCCACGTACTCACAGACTTTCCTGTCTGGGCTGGCTTTGAACTGAATAGCTAGGATTACAGGCACAAACTACCAGTGCCAGGCTCTTTTTTCTTTTTTTTTAACAGATGGGGGCTTGACAAATGTAACCTGAGAAGCCCTCTTCCCAGATGCAATGGACTCAGCTTACTTAAAAGAAACAAAGCTGGTACTGTGGCTTATGTGTATAATTCTAGCATATATCAGGAGGATCATGATTCAAGGTCAAAAAGTAAGGGATACTCCAAATCAAAAGATAAACTGAGCTGGGTACAGTGGCTCATGTCTGTAATCCTAGCAACTTGGGAAGTAGATATTGAGAGGATCATGGTTTGAGGCCAGTCCAGCCAAAAGTTTATGAGACAACCTGCCAACTAATAAAAATGCTGAGTTCCCCGGTATGAGCCTTTCATCTCACTGTCTGCCTGGGCTCTGAACCTCATATCTTGAGGTTTCCCCCAGATGCTGGATTAGAATGATGATCCTCCGGGGGACGGCCTCTGGGTAGCAGCGGGGCATTCAGTGGTAGACAAGAGAGGAGACAGGGGACAAGATCAAGCTAGGAGCCTGGATTTTTTTACACCCCAAAGTAGATACCTTTGCAGCTGTGGCACTGTCTCTGATTTCATCAGTAATAAAATTACAAATGAGCCAGGCACCAATGGCTCACACCAGTAATACCAGTTACTTCAGGAGTTAAAGCCAGCCCAAGCAGAATAGTTTCCTAGTGGCACTGGCACACACACACACACACACACACACACACACACACACACACACATCAATTGACTTTTGAGTCTTCAACACTTGGAATTGGGAAAATTCAAATTTTTCCTGTTAATAAAACTCTTCTCATCTAATTGGCATATCTAATATTTAATTAGCTTCTATACAATTATAGTAAGCATAAAAGGCATCCATAGGTCCCAAGTTAGGCATTTGGTCTCTGGAAGCTCACAACTCAGCTAGAAGAAGACCAGAGATGTAGGAGGGCTGTAGGCTGGGCCTGCCAGCTATCTTCCTTGGAGCTATAGAGAGATGGTGAGCACAATCAAGCAATGTGGGTTATGGGCTTCTGTTTTTGTTTGTTTTCATTCTAATTGTACAGACTTTGGGACTGACTGAGGCTCAGGATGGCAAAAACAAGAAGCCAAGGGCACAGAGGACCCAAGTCTGCATCACAGTTAGAAGCGGGACAGTGCTGTGTGATCATGAGTCTTACCATCACACCAATCACATTGCTCTGCTCAGATGCAGACTTGGGAGTCTGGCACATGGTGTCTCCCTCTGGTCTTCATTGGCTTCACTTGGTATAGATTCTGGCAGGGCCACTGGCCTGTTCTGTTCTTCCTTGGTCCCCTCCAGGAATGGCTTTAGTTATACCCCAAATACATCTTCCTTTCTCTAGAATCAGCTTTTTAGAGCATGACATCATCTTTGCCCTGTCCTTCCTGCTGAGTGACCCCAACAACCGCTGCCGGGAGAACATGCACCTTGCCTTCAAACACCTGTCTCAACTGCCCGCAGGTAGGCTCGTGCCTCACACGTGGGTCTGGGTGGCCCCAGCTCCATGTCAAGGCTGCTGCTTATCTCAGACCATAGCATTTCTTGGTTTGTTTGTCTTTAAGCTAATATAGTGGTTCACACCTGTAGTCCCAGCTACTTGGGAGGCCAAGGTTAGGATCCCTTGAGTCCTGGGAGTTTGAGATCAGCCTGGGCAGCACAGCTAGGCCAACAGTAGCAACAACAACCACAAGGAAGTTACCTTTTCATTAAGGTATCATGCAGGTATTTGGAAAAACTGAGATGTAGCTCAGATGTAAGGTCTACATAGCACATAGCATGAACAGAGTCGTGAGTTCATCCCCAGCATCTACACCTCCCCAATAAACCTTCCAATAAATGGACATTTGGTTGAATTATAATTAATGAGCTGGGCGCTGGTGGCTCACGCCTGTAATTCCAGCTACTCAGGAGGTTGAGATCTGAGGATCGCAGTTCTAAGCCATCGCAGGCAGGTAGTCCATGAGACTCCTATCTCCAATTAACCACCAGAAAACCAGAAGTGGCACTGTGGCTTAAAGTGGTAGAGTGCTAGTCCTGAACAAAAAAAGCTCAGAGCAGTGTCCAGGCACCAAGTTCAAGCCCTAAGACCACCACCCACCACCACCACCACCACCACCACCACCAAAAAATTATATACTCACACACACATGCCAAGGAACATATAGTATACACAGCCCTTCATATGCCATAGATTAATTCATATTTTTTTTTGTAGTACTGAGGACTGAACTCAGGCCTTGCCCTTGCTAGGCCGGCACTACCATTTGAGCCATACCTCCACCACCTTTTTATCTTGGTTATTTTTGAGGTAAGATCTTGTTCTATTTCCCAGGCCAGCTTGGACTGATCCTCATACTTGTGTTTCCTTGTGTCACTGGAGATGACAGGTGTTTGCCATTACACCTAGCCATTGTGCTTCCCCAGCAGCTGGGATGACCACGTTTATGCAACCATGCACAGTCATTGGTTGAGATGAGGTCTTGTAAACATTTATGCCGGGAATGGCATTAAACCTTGATCCTCTGATCTCTCCCTCTTGTATAGCTAGGATTACAGAACTAAGCTACCATATCCATCCATTCTGCTTTTCTTTTTCTTTTTTTAAATGGTGCTAATGATGGAGCCCAATGCCTCACATGTTAATCATGTGTTCTTCCACTGAGTCATAACCTAGCCTAGACTTTATCTTTTTTTCAACTTCACATGGTAACATACCATCAGTAATACTTTCTTTTATTTATTTTTGTTTGGTCATTGGCTTCAACTCAGGGCCTGGGTGCTATCCCTGCATTCTTTTGCTCAAGGCCAGTACTCTACCACATTAAGCCATAGCTCCACTTCTGGTTTTTTGGTAGTTAATTGGAGATAAGAGTCTCACAGGGACTTTTCTGCTCTAGCTGGCTTTGAAATTCAATCTTCAGATCTAAGCCTCCTGAGTAGCTAGGATTATAGGCTTGAGCCACTAGCCCAGCTTAGTCTGTAATACTTTCTCTCGCTTAGTAGTTTGTTTCTGAGATTCATGTATGTTATGTATTACTAATGTGTGCCAAGTTGTGCTGAAGTTTGGCATTTGCATTATGTGAGTATGCTATAGTTCATCCACCCTGTGTCACCAGGCACTTGAATTGTGTCTCCTTAGGGTTACCAATAAGCATAATGGCTAGAAACAGTCTTACTACCTCTATTTTGAGATGTTTCTAGGGATAGAATGCTGGCAGGGTATAAATCCGTTTAATGTCAGAAGATGTTTTTCTAAAATAGTTACACCAGTTTTCACTTCCGCCAGCAGTGTATGAGAATCACAAGTACTTTACTTACTCAGAAATCCACTATCTTTTCTAGAGTCTTATTTTTGAGATTTTGGTGGGTGAGTATTACTATCTTATTTTAGTTTTAATATTTATTTCCCTAACTAAAGGAGAGACCCTTTAGTTTTTATGTTTTGAGACAGGCTCTTGCAATATTGACCAGATTGGTCCTGACCTCCAAGCCATCCTCTTACCTTAACCTTAAAAGTAGCTAGACCTCCAGACATATGTTCTCATGCTTAGTTGCAGAGGCCTTGAAACACTGTCTTTTGTAAAGTGACATAGTATGGTGCTGTTTTTTTTTTTTGGTTGTTGTTTTTCTGGTCCTGGGCCTTGAACTCTGGGCCTGGGCGTTTTCCCTAAGCTCCTTTGCTCAAGGCTAGCTCTCTACCACTTGAACCACAGCACCACTTTTGGCTTTTTCTGTGATTAATTGGAGATAGGAGACTCAAAGACTTTCTTGCCCAGGCTGGCTTAGCTGTGATCCTCAGATCTCTGTCTTCTGAGTAACTAGGATTACAAGCATGAGCCACTGGCACCTGGTATATGGTGCATTTTTAAAATTAAGTTTTAAATTGTTATTATAAAGATGATGTACAGAGGAGTTACTGTTTTATAAGTTGGGTAATGAGTGCATTTCTTTTTGGACAGTGTCATCCCTTCCTTTGTTCTCTCTCAATTTTCCCCTTCCATCCCCACCCACAAGTTGTAAAGTTCATTTTCAACATAGTGTCTACCAAATACCACTACTGCAGGCTTGGAGGGTTTTTTGTTTGTTTGTTTGTTTTTTTTATCAGTCGTGGGGCTTGAATTCCAGGCCTGAGCATTGTCCCTGAGCAGTTCAGCTCAAGGCTAGTGCTCTACCACTTGAGCCACAGCAACACTTCAGTTGTTCCTGAGCTCTTCAGCTGAAGGCTAGCGCTCTACCACTTGAGTCAGAATGCCACTTCCAGTTTTCTGGTGGTTTATTGGAGATAAGAGCCTCACAGACTTTCCTGCCCAGGCTGGCTTTGAACCATGATCCTTGGATCTCAGCCTCCTGAGTAACTAGGATTACAGGTGTGAGCCCCTAGCACCTGGCTGGTTTTTTTTTTTTTTAATAAAGAAGGCCAGATCGGGGCTGGGAAGGTGGCTCAGTGGTAGAGTGCTTGCCTTGCATGCATGAGGCCCTGGGTTTGATTACTCAGCACCACATAGGCAGAAAAAGCCAGAAGTGGTGGTGTGGCTCAAGTGGTGGAGTGCTAGCCTTGAGCTGAAATGCTGAGGGACAGCGCCCAGGCCCAGAGTTCAAGCCCCATGATTACCACCACAACCACCATCATCACCACCACCACCAACAAAAAGAAGGCCAGCTCCACAGGCAATATTGCGTGTACACTCACTGAGGGCACCTTCCCCTTTGGCATGAATTTTCCTTAAATGACTGGCCTTGATAACTGGGGAGTCTAGAATAACTACCTGCTAAAAGGGTAACCTTTATGTCAGCTGACATCCCCTCATTGCCTGAGGGCAGTAAACTTTGTGTGTGTGTGTGTGTGTGTGTGTGTGTGTGTGTGTGAAAGAGAGAGAGAGAGAGAGAGAGAGAGAGAGATCACTGTAACCCCAGGCATCATAGTTAGTCTCTAGGAGTGGGACCCTGCATAGTTTGGCTGATTCTTGTGTGTACCAGGCCTCCAAAGCCACTGGGGTAGAATATGTCTCCATGAAGGATCAGCACCAGGGCCTAACTAAACAAATGGCTTGTGCTCACTGTGTAAGAACCCAAAGTGCAAGCCAGAGTCTGGTTCCATCATTTTTGAGGTGTGGAGAGAGGAGACTTCCTGCTCTCATCCAAGACTGTTATACTGATAGTAATGAACCCTGGGCACAATCAGCCAGCCTTGTCAGATTGTAAAGTTCAATCCTATCCCATAATTGCTTGAGATTTGTATCATTTTCACATACTTCCTTCCTGTTTTCCCTCAAGCCATCAAAAATGTGGTGACTATATCTTCAATGTTTGTCTTTCTATGTTATCACAGATGTAAATTACATGGAGACTATATGTATACAACATCTTGCTTTGTGTATTTTAAAACTGTGTGAGTGGATCTTGCTATATGTAAGTAAAAAAGGATGAAGTAATATTATAATAATTTTGAGATGTATCCGTGTGAAGTCACAGAGCTCTATGTCATTTATTTCCTCTGCTGCGTTATCTTCGGGCACTTGTGTCCATGTTGGTTGTTTCTGCCCCTGGGCTGCAGAAGGAATGAGCAGATTCCTAGTATATGTGAAGGATTGTACCAAGAGTTCTGCCACTAGGCCTTGGGAAATTCTTGCTCACCTGACATTAACTCCTCTCAGTCTCTGCCCCCCTCCCCAAGCTGGCAAGATCACACTACACACACTGGTGTGTAGCAGCAGTGCTACTGTCATATTTTCTACCAAGATAGGAGTTTTTCTTTGTCACATTTCACTTTGAAGTTACCTTGAATGGAGTTATATCTTTTCCTAGCCCTTGCCAACCTATGCTGCCTGAACTCTGCTATTTTTAAAAATTGTACTGGGGCTTGAATTCAGGCCTGACATTTTCACTTGACTTTTTCACTCAAAGCTGGGACTTTACCGCTTGAACCCATTGGTAGAGCCATTTAATGTGAAACAAGAGTATTACAGCGTTTTCTGCCTGGGCTGGCTTTGAACTAAAATTACAGGCATGAGCCACCAATGCCTAGTGCTGCCTGGATTCTAAACACTCTAGGTTATTTGTGTTCTGGCAAATATCTTTCATCTCCCTGCAGTTTTCAGGAATCCACATACATGAGGAGCAGGGATATGTGGTATCCAACCTCAAAAACCTCGCTAGAGGACCCTACTCACATGGTGTACTAGGTGCTACTCATAGTCTGTAGGTTCCCAGAAGGGCGACCTGATGCAATCTGGTGAGAATGCACAGCACTGGATGGGGCTGAGAGCATGGCTGGACAGATGGACAGAAGGGAGGTAGTGTGGCAGACACCCTAGTAAGTTCCTTCAGAGGAGACTCTGAGACCTATAATTCAGGTTGGCCAGCACAGCTGTGCCTCAGGTAGCATCCTTGCTGAGATTCTAGGTGATGGTGGTGGGGAGGTCTGAGGTTCTTTTTCAGTGACCATCTTATCAGAGTGTGATATACAGCCTGGATTTTGTTACCTGTGTGGTGTAGCTTGGGCAATTTGGATGCAGGGCTCAGCCAGCTTGCAGCATAGCCTTGTTTTTTGTCAACAGACATACCAGAAGGTCATTTACTGTGGCATTCTTGGTGACTGGCAGAACAACCAACAGGTGGCCAGTACTCAACCAATATTGCAGGTTTTATGTCATATTTTAGAGATCATTTGTTTTCTTGCTACAGTTCACTCACCCAATTACCCATGGATTCAACAAATGTGTGGACCCTTGCCATATTCCAGTCACTATGCCCCAGTTTCCTTTCCTGTAACATGGGATTTCTGTGGGAGAATGTTTGGAAGGTCTTTCTTTCGGAATCCTTGCTCCAGATAATTCACTGCATGAGTTCCTCAAATAACCAGAAGAGGGCGCTCTAGGATTGAGGATCATTCTGGCAGGTCTCTCACCCATTCCTTCAGGACAGCTCATGCTCCAAGATGGTGCCCTGCTAGGAGAGGGGAAACCAGGATAGTAGAGACAATTGCCATGCAGAGGCTCTTAGTCATCCAGGCTCTCAGTGCTTACCCAGGGTTTCTCTCTGGCTCCTGTTCCCTAATCCTTGCCCCCCCCCCACCTCTGTTTCTGTCAATCCCATGAAGGTCTCACTTAGTGGCTAGGGGGAAAGAAGCCAAATGTTGATACGGAAAATACTTGCTCTGTATTTTGGAGTGCAATTGAACCTACCTCTAGGGCTCCCTGAAAGTATCTCACTACCAGCCCCGGAGGGATCCCCTGCGACTTGTGAGTCTGGCCTCACTCATCCACCTGCCAGCTTTCATGCCAGGCTTTGAGATTGTAGCCCAGAAATGGCAGAAGTATGGAAGAACCTTCTGTTCCTAACCCTATGTATACAGCCTGGACTTAGGTCAGGCCCTCAGGATGGAGGGCACACACATTTCCTAAACCAGAGGAGAGTACCAGCCTGGAAAGACAAGGAGATTCTACCGGAGGAAACTGGAGGTGGGTGTCAGGCTTAAGTAGGGGTAGAGGATGGTGCCTTCAGTGTGTGTGTGTGTGTGGGGACTGGCAAAGGATATTTAAAGCAGAGATAACAAGAGGGGGCATGGGGGATGGGAAGAGCCAGTAGGGAGACCCAACATTGGGGATTGGAGAGTCTAGGGTCTTCCATGATGATGGAGCCCTCATGAGGCTCTGGGAACAAGAGGAAGCCCCTGTTCCTTGAACACACCAAGAAGGAAGGTAGAATACTACTTTCTCTGTAGCTGAGTATTTTTAGGTTAAAGATGCTCACGGTGAAAGCCCTGCTCATTTTCACAGTTGGTATTAAAAGCACAAAATAAGCCTCAGTGATTTCCAGTCACATGTTATTTCATCTTAAATCAGAGTGCCTTTGGGTTCTTGCCATTTAGTGATGTGGGAAGGTGTGAAGGAAATCCTCCCTGGCCAGGACCAGGTCTGTGTGTGTCTGAGTACGTGTATCTACACAGAGGTGTCTGTGTTTGTGTCCACGTGCACATGTGTATGTCACTCTCCACTCAGGTTCTGCTTCTGGGGAAGAGGCTGCAGGGTAGCTCTGGGCTCTGAGCTCTCTCCCTGCATTCCTGTTCCATCCAGGTACAGGGCAGGACAGAGCCCCAGGCCTCCAGAAGTACTACACCCTTCCTCTAGGGGGAGTACATTTCTTTGGTTTGGGAAAATAAATCCCTGACCAATTGCTTCATGACCTAAAGGTACCCGATGCTGGGTACCTTTCCTCATCGGTAAAAAGACTCACCTCACCACTGGTGAGCTGCAGCAGCACATGGACACACCACCTTGCCTTCTAATCACTGTTTTCACTCTTACCACACAAGCATGCTTTGGTTCCCTGGGAACATCTCCTTTGCAGCACCCTGCAGGGGCTGCTTTATAGTGAGATGGCTCCTTCCCAACAAGGTGTCCCCAGGGCTCAGCCCTCCATAGAGGTGGCTGGGGGAAGATGGCTATGGGAGCAGTAGGCCATCACCACCCCCTAACCTCTGGTAGGTCTCTCTCTTTTGCTTCTTTCATCCTCCTAAGGTTACTCTTGGCATTCATTTCAAACTGACATTCATCTCAAATGTGTGGAGATGTGGAGGGAGGGAGGAGAGGAACCTGAGAATGGAAGGTGTCCCCAGTGGTCCCCCCCCCACCCCCATGACACCAAGTGTAGCACACACCAGTCACACACACAGTACACTGAAGCAAGATTTGGCTTCATTCAGGGTATTTTATTTTCTTAAAGTAGACAATCTTTGACTTTCATATGGTCACCAGCTCCTCTTTTCCCTCTGTGTATCTCTTCAAGTCCTTGGCTGTGATTCTGCTCACTGCCCTTGGACACATGGGTACTGAACAAGGGGAGAGGAGCTCTGGCAAGGGCTCTGGTGGGAACCTCCCTTTCTCAGCAGCAGGGGGATGGGAGGTGTATTTACATGGGGCCCTGGGCCAAGGTCCTTTCAAGGCCAGTGTCCAAGGGCCCTGGGACAGGATGGGAAGGCCCAGAGTACATGGTCCCAGCAGGGCCTCCCTCAGGCCACAACACTGACTAGGCCTTCACAGGAGTAGCAGCTCCCAGCCTGTGGACGGCTGGGGGCAGGCAGGGACCGGGGAAGTGGGGTGGGGAAGCGCCATCTCTCGCCTCCCCTTCCTTCATTCAGCAAAGCCACAAATAATTTACGCTTTAAATACCAAGACATTTAGCTATTGTTCATTCGCTCCTAGGTGAAGAACCTTTCTTTAAATACGTCACATTTATTTTTCTTAAATAAAAACAAAGCAGGAAACTGCACCAATAACAAGAGGACACTGCAGAGGCTTATATACAAGTGTCCCACAAGGTGGCACAGGACGGCCATTCACCCCATAATTCTTTGGAGCAGAGGGACAGAATCATTCAGATAACAACTTTTATACTCCGCAAGCCAGACACAAAAAGGACCACCTGAAAAAAATTATATTTTGAAAATCTGCATTTAAAAAAGAATACTCAATTGCATTGGAAATTTCTGTAGTTCTGTGAACTACCACAAGATTTGGCAAAAAAAAAAAAAGATGTCAGAGAAGAAAAACTAGGTTTTGGTTTATAAAACATCAGACTAGTAGAAGAAAAGCTGGAAAGCCAGCTGGCCTAGTTTGAAGGAATATGTGCCACTCATTTGCTTGTGTGGATTTTTGCTGCATATTTTGAAGCTGTTTAAAACCAGTTGGGAGTGGCTGGAGATCTGGTTAGTGCTGTTAACCTGGCTCCTTAGGTCCCAGGTCTGAGACAAACACTGTGCAGAGAGGCTATGGTGTCAGATGTGGCCAAGCAGGGAAGGGACACATCCCTGCTCTGGTCTTCACTACTGCTCAGTGGCAAGGTCCCCAGTCCAGCACTTGGGTGGTGAGCTGGCCTTCTTCTGAGTGATGGGCACCACTGGCTCAACTTAGCCCGGACCCTGCCGCCTTTCCCCAGAAGTCCAACGCGGACCCCATGCAGAACTGGGGCCAATTCAAGAAGGCAGAGTGAAGGGACAGAATGGCCTTGGAGTGAACTTGTGACAGTAGCTTCATATGTCCTCAAGAGACCTCAATGCTTTGGAGATCTTTGACATCTCCAGATGTGTGTGTGTGGGTGTGTGTGTGCGCGCGCCTGTGTGGCTACCTACCTAGCAATCTATCCATATATATTTGTTTGCAGAAACCTGAGGCCAAGGAGGCCAAGGCCAAGGGACGGGGTGGGGGGATGACATTCTTCAGGCCCCCCCATTTTCTGCCCTTGAGTTGGGCCTCTCTAGCACGAGTCGGGGTGTAACACCCCGTGGGTTTCACCACAGGCAAGCCAGACAGGCCTGGCTCCTCAGCATAAGCCAATGTACTTGAGATTGTTCTGTATTATGACGTCTGTCACAGCGTCAAAGACAAACTGGATGTTACTGGTGTCGGTGGCGCAGGTGAAGTGTGAGTAGATTTCCTTGGTCTCCTTGTTGCGGTTCAGATCCTCAAACTGCCGCTGGACGTACACGGCGGCCTCCTCATACGTGTTCTGGCCCTTGTACTCCGGGAAGCAGACTGTGAGCGGGATGCGCCGGATCTTCTCCGCCAGCAGGTCCTTCTTGTTCAGGAAGAGGATGAGTGAGGTGTTGATGAACCAGTTGTTGTTGCAGATGGAGTCAAAAAGGCGCAGGCTCTCTGCCATTCGACTCTGGGTGGAGGTGGAGAAAAGTGCTTGGCATGAGTCAGGGGATGCAGCAAACAGTGATCCTAGCCCGACAGCCCTGCCAGGAGCAAGGCTCCCTTTAGCAGGGTCTGCCAGCCCAACGCTGGCCCCTGAGAAAGCATCCTCTTCCACCAGGAGCCCCTTCCTCTATCAGGTCAAATCCATTTATCCATCTTCCTGAGAAACAGCTGATGCTGCCTACCTCACTGAGAGCCTTCTATGTGATTGGAAGGGGCTTTCTTCCCTTTGGGGCCCCTCCTCAAGCGGAGATGATCACTGGTGTGGCCTCAGGGCTGTGGCAGTGCCCAGCACAGAACCTTCATACCCTTACCCATTGTCTCCAATCTGTCCCCAGCCCAGCCCAGCTCGGCCCTGTATTGAAGCCTGTCTTCCATGGGAGCTGCTGTCAGGTCACAGGTTTCACAAGGTACTTTGAGACTATGATCCTACCAAATGGCACCTTTGAGGGGCCACATGTACTTCCTTTCATAACCCGAATATCCAGTTTCCAGGAGCTGGGAGTAAAGCATCAGCCCGATGCCAGCTGCTTCTCCCTGCCCTCCCTGGTGGCCTGGATGGGGCAGGCTCAGCATATGCAGGGAGGGGTGGGGCAGCACCCCGGGGACAGCTGTACCAAGTCACAGAGCAGTCCCTCATACTTTACCTTTCTTACTTTTTCCTGGCAGTACCAGGGTCTGAATTCAGGGCCTCATGCTTGCGATGCAGGCAGCCAATGAGCTACTCCACTACTCATGTCTGTGTTTGTTAAGTTTTGAAATAGTCAGAGCTGGTCTAGATGGTGATACTACTTGTGCTTCCCAGCATTTCTGGGATGACAGGCATGTACCACCGTACCTAGGAATGGAGTCTTGCCAAATCTTTTTGGGCTTGGGCTGGCCTTGAACCATGACCCCTTATTGTTTGCTTCTCAAGTAGCTGCAATTACAGGTTTCAGCTACTGCATCCAGCTTTTCTCTCTCCTCTGAGAATTTTCAGTAACCGGGCTTAAAGGACTGTATTGCTTTTTTTTTGGCTTCCAAACCCATCACTTCCCCACAAGATAATTTTTTTTTGGTCACTTGTGGGGCCTGAACTCTGGGCCTGGGCGCTTTCCCTCAGGTCTTCAGCTCAAGGCTAGTGCTCTACCACTTGAGCCACAGTGCCACTTCCAGTTTTCTAGTGGTTTACTTGAGGTATGTGTCTCATGGACTTGCTTGCCCAGGCTGGCTTTGAACCGCAATCCTCAGATCTCAGCCTCCTGAGTAGCAAGGATTACAGGAGTGAGCAACCGGTACCCAGCAAGACTGACAATTCTTGCTCCAGTAAGGAATTAACCACTCAGAACTGCCACCTGGTAATCACTGCTGGTGAGCTGTCCTTCCAATTCACCTTCCCCCATTTCTGACTCCTACTTTACAGACAAACGGACTTGGAAAGCAGGAAGTGCTCTAAGCCCCTTGGCCAGGAGTTTTGGGCTTATGGCTCCTGCTGGGTAAACCCAAAGAAAGCTGCCATGAGGTGGGGATGTCCAGGAGGATCCCAAACAGAAACTTTTCCCAGAGCCTGTGTTCTTAAGGTATAGGCTTTGCAGTTTCTATGCTGAGAAGAAAATGGGAGCCTGTGTCTACCTAGGAGCCCTTGTTTTTTCAAATCCAATCCTGTTCCTTCTTTAAAATAATCTCTGGATAAGAGAAACTCCAAAAAGCCTGGGGTATGAGCAGGAACTGACCTGTCTGTAGAGAATTCTCAGGAGGCAGGTCCCCAGTTCTAGTAGTACCTCTCAGGGGGCCAGCACCCCTCCACAGCTGGACCTGGGTGCCAGCTTCCAGAGGCAAGATCAGTGGTGGTCTAGGATTGTCACATTCTACTGGGAGAATCATTAGCTCTAATGGATTCCTGGAAACCACATTATAAAGATGACTGTGGGAATGGAGCTGTCACTTCTCATAGAAATGATGTCATAATTGGGGGCTATGCTTCTGAATCTAAATTCTGTATCAGATATGGCTATTAACACATATTTGTCAATTCGCTGAGCACTTGCTGAGCATGTTCTGGACCCAAAGGCCATTGGCAGGCTCAGGGCTCTCCTGCGGGGTATGGAGCCGAGCTGGGAGTCTTGAGGCTGACAGCTTTGGAGTTGCAGGAGCAGAGTCTTGCAGGGAAAGCAGGCTCCTTCTAGGGGCGGGCCAGCCTGTGAGATGGATGGTTTGGCCATCAGTAGAGCATGTCCTGGGGTTCAAAGGCTAGCACAGAGTTGGGGTAAGGGCTGGCCTCAAGTCATTCTGGGTTGCTTGGGATGACAGCAGAGAGTGGGTCTTATATCCTGCTCAGCCTAGAAGCTCTTGGTCAGAAATCAGAGGATGGACAAGAGCTCAGCTGCTGAGCCCTGTGAGAAGTACAACAGACTATCTGGACTGTCTTGGGACTGTCCCATCACTGAAGCCATCTTGGCCACTCTTCTCTTGGGCTACACTATCCTAATCCACCATGAATCCCTTCAACCCCAGTGGTCTGAACTGCTTCCTTGACAATGACTCAACACTGTGGGGACCCTAAAGCTTTAAGCTCATGCATTTGACTCAGACCACAGAAAGGCAGACATGTTTCTTACAGGGTAGCAGAGGGAAGGCCCATTGTCCTTGACTACAGTGCTTTGCACACACACCCCATCCTCACACCCCATAGCAACTTTTGCTTTGCTGGTACTTGGGGGCCTCCTGGCTTCTTCTCTGTTACTTGGGACAAATCATGGTGAATCAACTTGACCATCATTTAGTGGGCTGCCACTAAATGATGGGCCTCAAAGAATATTAGTAAAATGTTCTCTGTGGAGTCACCTGCATCCTTGGTCTCATCATCTGCCCAGCAGAATTCAGGAGAGCCAGGGCATTCAGTCCCTCTGCTGGCTGAATCCTTGCTGCATACAGACAACCACTGCTGGAAGATGGATGTGTGTACACACTGGGAAGGCTGCTCAGAAGCTGGGGTGGTGCTGTGATGCCCCTTCACAGATTCTGAGGGACTGGCAAGAGTGAGGCAGAAGCTGTGTCCTATCCAGTTTGTACATAGCCCAGAGGCCCGTGGCTGTCAGAGATGGGGCAGAGAGGCTTAGGAACCACAGGCAGTCAGTGAGGACCCAGCTAAAGCTAACAAGAAAAGCCTGTAACTAAGTAAGCTAGCGGAAGTGTGTGTGTGGGAGCCCTATTTTGTCCCGTGTCTGCCAATGGGTGTGTTCCAGTGTTCTTGCAGCCCCGCTTGCAGACAAGTAGGCAGACTGGCATCCTGAAACAAACACAGCCACTGAAGGAGCATGTGCTATTTCAGGATGTAACTCTGGAAACTACGTTAAGGGTGCACGAGTGTGAGCATGGGAGGACTGAAGCCAGGGCATGCCTCTTGCCTGGGCTCCCGGCCTTCTGCAGCACCTCCCACCCGTGCATGTTGAGCTCCGTGCATGTTGAGCTCCCCCCGTGGGACCTTACCCCAGGCTCCTCCCTGCAGCCCATCCACCTCCCTGCAGTCTGTGGAAGATCCTAGTTCCAGGCTGGTCTTTGGAGTTTCCTCGCCCCCTCAGTGGGCATGCATGGCCTGGGAGGAGTTCTACCTATTTCCCTCTATTTCAGCCCATTTGCTGTTATGGGGGTAGAGTTGCTATGAGGGGGTCTGAAGGTGGTAGGTCAGTATTGGACACTATCCAAGCAGCCTGATGGGGGCTGCTGGGTACCAGGGTGAAGACCCTGGCATCACTGGAGTTATCTGACTGACCACTTCTACCACATCCCATGTCCAGTAGTGACATTCTTCTCAGTGACTGAGTGTGCATACCCAGGGGAAGGCTCCCATTTCACATGCTTTCCAGGCTCAGTGGAGAACCCTGTTTTTCATCAGCCACAATGTCTCTTCCAGCAAAAAAGTTCCCTTGCTTTTAGCTCTGCAGCTGTAGTTGGAGGAGCCACAGTTGGAAGTGCAGTTGACACTGGTTGCTGCAATGCCAGCCCAGGACTAATGCCCATTCAGCTCTCTTCAGGGCCCACTCAGCAGTGAGATGGCACCTTCCAGGAGGCTGGGGCATGCCTGCATATTTACATAAGTAACACAGAGCAGATGATTCCCGATAGGAGCCTGGGCACCACTCCCTGGGGTGATACAGTCATTTTGTGGTCATTTATGAGAAATAAGATCTTCAGGTAGGTCTAAATACATTTAATGCCACTGAACCTATTTTACCCCCAAGTGAAACCTGCCTGAGCCTGTTTCATTACCACTGAGAGTGGGGTATGTGTGTATGTGAGATCTGATGCCTGCCCCCCCCCTTTGTGGCCATGGGGCTTGAACTCAAGGCCTGGGCACCGTCCCTGAGCTCTTTTGCTCAAGGCTAGTGCTGTGCCACTTTGAGCCACAGCTCCATTTCTGGTTTAATGGTAATTAATTGGAGATAAGAGTCTCAGACTTTCCTGTCTGAGCTGGCTTGGATTATGCTTCTCAGATCTTAGCCTCTTGAGAGGCTGTTCAGATGCATAAACAGATGCAGACACTCTGGGTATGCACACAAGGACCTTGAGTCCACTCTTCATGCTAGAGTTTGCTTTTCCCTGGGCAAGTTATTTTGCCCTCTCTGGGCTTCAGTTTCTTTATCTGCAAGATGCCAGGACTATTGTGAGGACTTCCTCTACTACTGAGGCCTGTGGGAGGGGCTTCAGTGGATGGAAGTGGCCTTGACTCTTCAAACCAGAGTGAGCTAGTGACAGAACTCCTCAGTGCCAGCCACAGGACCAGGCTGGCCTGGCTTTGAGACTCCAGAGATCAGATGGCCAAGGCCACACTGCTGACCACGTGGACTTGTAACATGCTGGCCAGCCTGTGGTGTGTGGTCCCTTATTCCACATTGGGCTAGTCTCCTTGCATTGGGGACTCCCCGAATCCCCCTCCTTGCTTCTCCCAGTGTGTGGGATATTCAACAGCCCCAGATCCATTTCCCATGT